AGAGTGTGTGTGTGTGTGTGTGTGTGTTTATATGAGCGTGTGCACATGTGTGTATATATATGTCACATATAAATGTAAATGTATGTGTGTGTTTGTACCCTGGGTCAAACTCATTTTATCCTTGAAATACGGATTTTGACCCTTGCGTGTAACAAATTGATGCGAGAAGGGTGGCAGTGAGACAGTTTGTTTCCAGGACAGCACCTCCGTTCTGAGTGTGACAGAGCCAACAAGAGAGGAATATTGTGCCTCATGAGAAATGTGTCTTTTGCCTTAGCGAGAAATCCTTTCACCTGAGTCCTTTGGAAACTGAAGGTCTTTGTGTTTAAAGCTTAGAAATGAACAGCATGGATTTAGGATCATACAGATTCATAATAGGTCTGTAAATTAAATTCAGTTTTTCAAAATCTATGTAGGTGGCTTATTTGCTGCTGAGTATAATTTTTAAAATATGTCAAGGAAAGTAAGACTCAAATCCAGATTGTTATTTTATTTATAAGTTTTTAAAAATAAGTTTATTTATATTTATTTTTGGCTGCGTTGTGTCTTAGTTGCTGCGCACGGACTTTCTCTAGTTGCGGCAAGCGGGGGGCTACTCTTTGTTGTGGTGCATGGGCTTCTCATTGCGGTGGCTTCTCTTGTTGCGGAGCCCAGGCTCTAGGCACGCGGGCTCAGTAGTTGTGACTCCCGGGCTCTAGACTGCAGGCTCAGTAGTTGTGGCGCACAGGCTTAGTTGCTCCGCGGCATGGGGGATCTTCCCAGACCAGGGCTTGAACCCGTGTCCCCTGCATTGGCAGGCGGATTCTTAACCTCTGCGCCACCAGGGAAGTCCCCAGATTGTTATAATACATGGTTGAGACTAATAACATCATTTACATCCTTTTTTGGATTTTGATTTAGCATAAGTTGAAATGTTGATTGAAACCCACTACCATTTTACATGAACATCTAAAAAACCTGCTCTATGACATTTTGGTTCCATTTCTTTTAGACTCTGAAATCATTCCCCATCCATCCTTTGAAAAGTTATGTTGAATTTTATAGTAGTAGTATCTTAAGTATTTATCATTTACATTAGCTCCCTGTCAACTTGGGAGAAACCAAGTTTCCAGGTTCTGGGGAAAGCGGGAATTGGAAAGAAGGATAGGAAATTGACAGAAACTTGTCAGTAGGAGGGAAGGCTCTGTGTTGATCTGGCCTAATATTGGAAGTGTTATCTGTGCACAGGAAGAACAAATAGGTGGCTCCTTGTAGGGGGACTTGACGTAGATCAGGGGAGAATGACAGCATGTCTTTACAAGGTTTAAATGTGACATCTGTAAGCACTGTTGTAGGAGTTGGGACAGTTTAGCCTAGAGAAAAATTTCTAGCTGTCTTCAAATTTATAAATATTTGTAAATAATGTTGACAACTCACCCCTTTCTAGAAATGTGAGGTGAAGAAAGCGATCAAGGTTGGTAATAAAGAAATTTGTGATTATAAGTGTTGATTATTAGAATGGAATTGGATGGTTAGAATTGGGTGTTGAAGATTATTTAGAAAATAATTATAAAAAATCCAATCTGGGTTGGTGGAGGGGCAATTAAGCCTGGAAACCAGGTAGTGAATGAATGAACCTCCAGATTTCCCTCTGGCCCAGTAAGTATATGGGTGACATAAACATACTAGTGGTTTGTGTGGTTAGCAAGGGGAGATAGATAAAAAGGTTAACTTTTATGGGAATAGAGAACCATAAAACTTTCAAAGTATTTTTGTTAGGATTTTTTCCTCCTGAGTTATGGAGGGAAAAGGGCAAAGTGCTGTGTTTACACTCTTGAGTGTTGTGTGTAACATGATAATCTCTTAGAAAGAGCCAAGCAGTGCTGTTAAAATTCCTTGTAGGAGCTAAGCTTCTGGACACTGTACTTTTTCAAAGATTACTCAATTATGGAGAATTAAAAGGAGAAGTTTAGAATGATAAGGAAATACCGATTTTTTTAATCTTTAATTAGATCACTGCTGCTGCTCTCACCCTCCTTTTTTTGTTACCACTTAATAAAATTTGAAACAGCTTTGTATCTTTACATGCGGGTACTATTTTTGTCTTTTCAAGCCTTTCATTTAAGGTTTTTGACCCTTAGGAGATTTTAAAATGTAGGTACCCTCAGCCGAAAACAGCGCAATAAGTGATGGTGATGCTGGTTAAATTCCTAATATGGAATCCTCTCAACTGTACCAGAGCCGGGAACGCTATTTCATGGGACCTTGTTATGGACCCGATACACCTTTAGCAAAAATATAATGTGAAAATGCATTCTCATTTTGAATTCAGAGCGCAGGACACAGGCCGTGCTCTTTCTTTTCCCTCTGCCTTTCCCCTGTCCCATACAAATCTTAAGGATACAGTAGAAAAATTGGGTTGTTTTTTTTTTTTTAATCCAATGAGAAGCCATAAATGTGAAGAGGAAATTCACAGTTTACAAAGAACCTATATAAACATATACAGGTTTATATAGTCTACATAGTTGTCTTATGCAACTGAAAGATATTGAGTTTTTTGATGCCGAGGGCTTCAGTCATTATTGGACAAAAGAAGAAACAAGAGTAAGCAAGACATCTACGGGAGGCTTTGTCTAAATGTTTCTCCGTGGTTTCAGATTTTCATTCTGGTAGAAAATCAACAAGTTACAAATTCTCACTATTTTTTTAAAGCTGTGTTCTTTATTTCAAAGTGTCACTGTCTTTTGATATGCTAGGATTGTCTTTAGAGTCCCAGTGAAGAAAGAGAAGCAAAATCAGAGACCAGCAAAATAGCAGATGCCCTTTCCAGGACCCGTTGACATATTATACCTAAAATATAGTATTTGCTCACCTTCACTCTGACCTTTTCCCAGGAAATAGTATAGGTCTGCTTCTGTGGGAGGCCCCTTTGCCTAGTTAACTATCGTGGACTCAGAATTATACCACAGCCTAAGCACAATTGGCTAGTGCCTCAAACTTTCTCCAGAAGTCCTTTCTTCAAGTCTTTTAGTGCCTGGAAACTTTCTTTTCCCCCCCGGAGATGATTCCTGTGTGAGTGAGAGAGGAAAGATTTACGTGTAATAGAAAAGATGGTTTTTATTATTTAGGTGGAATTCTCTTTTATATTGTAGCTTTAGGGCTTAGGTGCCTTTGTTCTAGGGCAGATGTTGGAGTTTCAGCTTCTTGCAGTGGCACAGAAGGATCAGAACCAGATCTCACCTTTGCAGCTACCAAGGAGCTTGTACGTTATAGTCGTCCCTTGGTATCCACAGGGGATTGGTTCCAGGACCCCCAGGGATACCAAAATATCTCCCAACTTTTATCTGGGATGAAAGCTGCCCTGGAAAAGAGGCATAAAGTTGGGCTGTGCCAAGATGTAAGGTCACCCTGGTTACCATTCACCCTGCATCCCTGAGGCTAGGAACTACCTATTATCCGTCTTTGTATTCCCAACATACAGTAACGCCTGACATGTGGTAGGTGCTTAGTGAGCACTTGTTGATTTAAAGAGGAAAGATAGGTCGTGGAAGACTCATACTGTGTTTATCTGTAAAATAAAATGTACTTTTCTGTTTTATTCCAGCTGGTAATAACGCTGTCATCAAATATGAGGAAAAACCTCCAAAACCAGCATTTCAAAATGGTTCCTCAGGATCCTTATATTTGAAGCCTTTGGTACCCCGAGCTCATGTGCACTTACTAAAAACTCCTCCAAAAGGTATGGACCTCACTGTGGAGAGAAGAGGAAGGCAAGGCTTTTTAAGTCCTTGGCTTATAGGAGGTTAAATTTTGGCATTTAGGTTCATGGTATATTGAATATTTATTTACAAAAAGTCTGGTGAATAAAGACATAATAGATTTTTACACTGATGGAGCTATTCTTCTGAGAGTCCGTAGGTTCTATAGCTAAAACTTGATACATATAAATCAGCAGATAGAGCAAAGGTATAGGGTGCAAATAAATGAAACTTCTAGAGTTAAATTATGTGAAGGTGGTGATCTAGAATAATGAGATAGAAGTGCATGGTTTACTTCACACTTTGGGTCCAACCATGTGCCCCCGCGCCCCACCCCCATGTTCTTTATCTCTTCTTCTCTGTATCGCTCACTCCGTGATTGCTACAGCTGTGAAGGTTAACTTTCAAGTTTACAACATATGTGGTATATACTTCATATGGAACGTTTTCGTGCAGCTTTATCACAGTGGAGCTGAAGCACATTCGCAGTTGTTGCTTAGTGAATTGAAAGATTGCTTAACTGAAAGAATAATTGTGAATGAGAAGCTTGAGCTGTAATATGTGATGCATATTTATATTAGAGGGTTTAAAATGCACAGAAACGTACAGCATCCTCCTTCATCCAGTCAACCATGAATAACTGTTGCCTTTCCTCCTTTTCTTTCCCTCTGCATATATAATAGCTTTGTTTTTGTTTCAAGAAAACTCAGGGCATAATATGTACATTCTCTTGTGTCTTTTGCTTTTTATTAATTTAATAGTATATCACGAGAGTGTCTTCATTTTAAATGGCTATGAAATAGTCTCCTGTTTTCCAATTCCCTGGTTCCTGGACAATTTCTGCCTTTCACTATGGCACGTGATACTGAGATGAACATCTCTGAATGTGAATTGCTTCAGGTCCTAGTTACTTCCGTAGGGTATTCCTAAAAGAGGAACCACTGGGTTAAACTGTGTGAATCTTTGTGAAATTGTTATCATATTACTAAATAACTTCCCAGAAATGTGTTAGTCTCTCAAAGCAGTGTGTGTCTGTTGCTCTGTGTCCTTCTCAATATTTGTGTGTGTGTGTGTTACATTATGTAAAGGATCACGTGGTAACTTGAGGTTAATTACCTAGTGAATGTTTATCAACACTTTCTTTTCTACTGAATTCAAGAGAGAATAGGCATAGATATTGGCAAAAAGATTCTTCTGAGTACCAGCAGGTTCTCATCTTCCAGGGTTTTAAACAAATTTCTGATGCATCAAATTACCCCTCGGTGGGATGACATCAGTATATGAATCTATGGTTTTTATTGATGATGATAAAGCCCTGTAATCTACACATACACCAGTAACTGGAAAGAAATGTCAAACTTTGATACTAAGATAACTTTCAGAGAGTTAGAATGGCATGGTTTCTCTGATACGTTTGCAGAACAGAGAACCTCAGTATTCTAAAATGTCTTGCCATTGAATTTGTAAGCTTTTGTATCACAGAGGTTTTACTTGACTGGGAATCAATGCTGTCCATTTATAACAGCCACATATTTTAAGAGATTGTCATCTCTGTAAAATTCCACAGAATGTGGCAGCTGTTCTAACTAAATAATCTGCAGGTGACTTGCCCTAGAAATGACTCTGTCACATGAGGAAGACGTGCTCATAGTCGTCTAGTGACTTATCTTTGTAGCTCTGTACCTGTTACCACTCCTGGTTGAATTTATTTTTCAGCTTTATTGATGTATAATTGACAATTAAAATTATATTTGATCTAATACACATATACATGGTGAAAGAATTCCCCTGGTTGTATTTTATATTGTATCAGTTTGGAGGAAAAGCTTAAGTATGTTTTCCTTCATAGCTGAATAGCAAGAGAACTGGATTTAATACTTGGCAATTTTAGAAATCACACCCTAGTAGCTGTATTCTGTAGTCTGGGCCTTTTTGCTCTATCAGCAGTGGAATAGCATCAAGTGTGTAATACATGTATAAATTTAGTACTGTTAAAATTTGAATTTCAGCAGTTCTTGAACTGAAAAAATTACTGTAGTTTGTCCTAGCATGTTTAATTTTGACAATAAATAATATCACCCTTAAACTACTATTTTGATGTTATTTGGAATATTTTATCCTTAGATGTTCTAAGTATAAACTCAATAAAGTTGATTAAATCTCAGTGGAATTTCCCATCTGGAACCTAAAATTTAGGTGTTAATGGATTGTTTTTGGAAAAAAAACTTAGTTTTTAAATGGTTTATTTTTGTATGATATTTTCTATAAAACATAAATATTTCTATTTTAGGTCCTTCAAGAAAAGGTCTATATACAGCTTTGAATGTGGGTAAGTGGCATCTTAAATATGGATGGAGAAAAAGAATCTTTTTGTAAAGTTATATTATCATTACAAGTATTCAAGTGTATTTGCAGTGATTCTTTTCACTAGTATGCTTATAAATATAATTTCAGGTTTGTGGCATAAACATAACTTCTTACGACCTTGTTCAGCATAGGGTTAAAACTTGGTGAGCACAATTGCCAAGCCATCTGATGCAGAAGGACATTTTATTAATCACAGATAATTTGTTTTTGTTTTTGTTTTTGTTTTTGTTTTTTTGGCGGTACGCGGGCCTCTCACTGTTGTGGCCTCTCCCGTTGGCGGTGCACAGGCTCTGGACGCGCAGGCTCAGCAGCCATGGCTCACGGGCCCAGCCGCTCTGCGGCATGTGGGATCTTCCCGGACCGGGGCTCGAACCCGTGTCCCCTGCATCGGCAGGCGGACTCTCAGCCACTGCGCCACCAGGGAAGCCCGATAATTTGTTTTTTAAATAATGATTTGTTTTCAAATCTGGAGCATATTTAATATTTAAAATGTGGAGATGTAGAGAATGTACTTTTTTTTTTTTTTTACAAGAAATAGGCTATTTTAAAATTGGATAGTCTTTAATTGCTAAATAATCTCAAGATCAGGTTTTAACACCTTTAGTAGTTCAGCCATTTAACATTTTTCTTTTCTTTTTTATACTTCTGTTGAACAAAGTCACATCCATCTCTAAGACAGCCTGCAGCCTCACTCACTGAACCTTTGAACGTCAACTGGAAATCAAAAAGCTTTGTCTCTTGAGAAGCCATAGAAGATTCATTAAAATATAGAAGTTCCTATATTTTCTCTGTAGCTGATTAGGTCCCCGTCCACTACTTGAATTCTCTTCTTTAGTATGCGGTTATAGGACAGTTGTATAGCTTCTAAGTCCACTGAGGATTAGAACAGCAAATCAAAGAGGAGAAGGGTATTATTCTAACACACCGACTACAGATTATCGTGCGTCGTGACAGTGTTGGCTGCTAAGGATATAAAGCTTTGCCCAAAATGAGCAAGGACCTTGTCTCAGAAAGCTTACAGGAAAGTCAAAGGACTGCACAAAAAAATATAAAATCACAATTGCAATAAGTTTTAGGAAGGAGGGCTACTTGTTCCAATGAGAGGCCTGGTTAAAAGCTATGATCTAGTGAGGGAAGCCTGGGCAGGAAGTATAAGTTTGTGACCCCCTGTATATAGATAGTAATTAAAGAAAATGGGGTGGGTAACCTTAAATATGGAATAACTAATATCCTTCAGGCTCCCAAGACATGTTTGGTTTCCTTAGCTTAATAAGGCAGGGAAGTGTGACCTATTATAGGCTCTTAAAGCTAGAGAGGGCCCAGCCATGCAGAGCGATTTAAATTCTAAAGGTTCGCAAGAGCCTGAGATTGAACGTGTATGTTTACCAAACTAATTTTAAAAGCCCAAAGAACTATTCTGCACACTGAGATTTTCATTTTCTTTCATTTTAAATTTCCAGCACATCCTAATATTTAGGAGAAAAGGATAGCTAGTATGCTATAAACGACTGTATGTTAGAAAATCAGATAACCTTTATCTGAAAGCTAGTTGATATGATAATTCTGTTTAACTGCGACGCTTCTAGGGTGTTTTCCAAAGTGGCTGCACCATTTTACATTTCCACCAGCAATGTATGAGGGATCTAGTTTCTCCACATCCTTGTCAACACTTGCTTTTGTCTGCCTTTTTTATTATAGCCATTCTAATGGGTATGGAGTGGTATCTCATTGTGGTTTCAGTTTACATTTCTCTGATGGCTCATCAGATGTTGAGCACCTTTCAGAAGCTTATTGGCCATTTGTATACCTTCTTTGGGAAAACATTTATTCAAATCCTTTGCCTATTTTAAAATTATTTGTATTATTATTGTTGAATTATAGGAGTTCTTTATATATTCTGAATATTAGGCCCTTATCAGATATGATTTGCAAATAATTTTCTCCCATTCTGTAGGCTGTCTTTTCACTTTTTGATAGTACCCTTTAAGGCATATTTTTAATTTTCATGAGATCCAGTTTATCTGTTTTTTTCTTATGTTGTGTATCTATTTGGCATTATATCTAAGAAGCCATTGCTTAGATACAAGGTCATAAAGACTTAGGCCTATGTTTTCTTCTAAGAGTTTTATACTTTTAGCTCTTACACTTGGGTCTTTGATCCATTTTTGAGTTAATTTTTGCATTTGATGTGAAGTAGGGGATCCAACTTAATTCTTCTGCCTGTAGATTTCCTGCTGTCCCAGTACCATTTGTTGAAAACACTATTCTTTCTTCCATTGGAATGTCTTGTCACCTTTGTTACAAACAGTTGGCTGTAAATGTGAGGCTATGTTTCTGGACTCTCTTTTCACGGATCTATGTGTCAATGCCACATTGCTTTGATTACTGTGGTGTAATAAGTTCTAAAATCAGGAAGTGTGAGTCCTCTAACTTGTTCTTCTTTTTCAAGATCGTTTTGGCTATTCTCAGTCCCTTGAATTTCCATATGAACTTTAGGGTCAACTTGTCAATTTCCATAAAAAAGCCAGCTAAGACTTTGATAGAAATTGCATTGAATCTGTAGATGAATTTCTGGAGTATTGCCACCTTTACAATATGAAGTCTTTTGATTCATGAGTATAGGATGGCTTCCTTTTTAGTTAGGTCTCCTTTAATTTCTTGCAACAGTTTTTTTGTAGTTTTCAACTTACAAGTTTTGCAGTTTTGTGGGGAAGTATTTGTGTGTGACATTTCTGTGCTTTGGAAGCTGCCATTGATATTGGTCACAGTAAAGGGGCTGGTTAAATAAGTCTAATATTCCTGTTTTATGAAACTTGGAAAGGCAGTCTTAATTCATGTCTCAAGTCTATGATTATATGAAATATTGTAAAGGATATTTGTTTTCACAGGCATAGTACAAATAATCTCCAATACATATCTTCTTTCTACACACGGGAAAACTATTAGCATTAGGTATTTTCCTTTGGCACATTGTGGGGCTGACATGATACCTTGTTTCCAAAGCCTGTCACTGGCCCCCAACATATCAGTGACCCTTGACAGGTAAGGTTACCAGAATGGCAGATTAGCAACTGATTGAGAAAAGAAACGAACAGTATGAATCACGCTGTGGTTTTGCTTGGCAAAGCCTCTAACCATGGAGTAGAAATGGGGCATATGACAGAGTTTGAGAATGCCTACCTTCAGTTCACCCTGAGTAATCAATGCTCTAATAATTGCAGTGGAAAATGATGTATTTTAAGGGGGTCAGCCCCTTAAAATAGTGATTTAATCTAGATTACGGGGTATGAACATGTATTTTCCAAAAATCATAAACTTCTAGTTGATGGTTAGTTATCATTACTTAAGACTAACCTAGTATTATGATGAGCCTGCTGAGGAAAAGTCACAGTGTGTTGCCCTTTGGAGGAACAGCTTGGATGCTAAGAAGTGGTGTCCAAGCAGCCAGTGACTTTGGGTGGGTCATGTAACCTCTTAATATTAGCTTTCTTTTCCGTGTAATTGAAATGATTGATCACTAAGGTTTCTCCCAGCTCTGATAGCCTATGACTGCAAAGCACCTTGGCTTTCTTTATATTCTGCTTGCAACGGTCATCTTTTAGATGGTACAGAAGACATTGCCTCCACATACAAACATGTTCCTCTGAACATTAAATTTTATGGCTTTCAGATAGGTTTTTTTTTTTTTTAAGCAACAAACTGGTAGAGATTAAAGTTGACCAACTTCATATGTTTTCACTAGGGTACAATAATCACTTTTTAGTGATTTGCTAAGTTCTAAAAAGTTTAACATGTAGAGGTTTAGAAATCACCCTTTAGTTTTTTTTAACTTGTGATTTTAAATAAAATTCAGATAACTTAATATCCTGTTGTCACTTAACATAAGTAATCGCTCTTTAATGACCATTACATTTAGCATATGCAGCGGCATTTAACTACTCTGTAATATTTGGGGTGCTTCTGTATCACATTCACAAATGATTCTCTGACGAACATCTTTACAGTTATCACCTTCAAAGTGTAGGG